TCTGTTTTAACTTCTCCGTTTTCATTTCTAATTTTATTGGTTTGAGTTCTCTCCCTCCTTTTCTTGGTGAGTCTGGCTAATGGTTTATCAATTTTGTTTATCCTCTCAAGGAACCAGCTTTTAGTTTTATTCATCTTTGCTATTGTTTTCTTTGTTTCTATTTCACTATTTCTGCTTTAATCTTTATGATTTCTTTCCTTCTGATAACTTTGGGTTTTGTTTGTTCTTCTTTCTCTAGTTCCTTTAGCTGTAAGGTTAGATTGTTTACTTGAGATTTTTCTTGTTTCTTGACGTAGGTTTATATTGCTATAAACTTTCCTCTAAAACTGCTTTGCTGCATCCCATAGGTTTTGGATCATCCTGTTTTCATTTTCATTTGTCTCTAGGTATTTTTTGATTTCCTGTTTGATTTCTTCAGTGATCTCTTGGTTATTTAGTAACGTACTGTTTAGCCTCCATGTGTTTCTGTTTTTTACCTTTTTTTCCCTGTAACTGATTTCTAATCACATAGCGTTGTGGTCAGAAAAGATGCTCGATATGATTTCAATTTTCTTAAATTTGCTGAGGCTTGATTTGTGACCCAAGATGTGACCTATCCTGGAGAATGTTCTGTGTGCACTTGAGGAGAAAGTGTAATCTGCTGTTTTTGGATGGAATGTCCTATAAATATCAATTAAATCTATCTGGTCTATTACGTCAATTAACACTTGTGTTTCCTTATTAATTTTTTGTCTGGATGATCTGTCCATTGGTGTAAGTGAGGTGTTAAAGTCCCCACTCTTATTGTGTTAATGTCGATTTCCTATTTTATAGCTGTTAGCAGTTGCCTTATGTATTGAGGTGCTCCTATGTTGGGTGCATACATATTTATAATTGTTATACCTTCTTCTTGGATTGTTTCCTAGATCATTATGTAGTGTCCTTCCTTGTCTCTTGTAACATTCTTTATTTTAAAGTGTATTTTATCTGATATGAGTATTGCTCCTGCAGCTTTATTTCATTTCCATTTGCATGGAATATCTTTTTCCATCCCCTCACTTTCAGTCTGACTGTGTCCCTAGGTCTGAAATGGGACTTTTTAGACAGCACATATAAGCAGCTTGCTTTTCTATCCATTCAGCAACCCTGTTTGTTTCGGGTGGAGCATTTAATCCATTCACGTTTAAGGTAATTATTGATATGTATGTTCCCATGACTATTTTCTTAATTGTTTTGGGTTTGTTTTTGTACATTTTTCTTCTCTTGTGTTTCCCACTTAGAGAAGTTCCTTTAGCATTTGTTCTAGAGCTGGTTTGGTGATGCTGAATTCTCTTAGCTTTTGTTTGCCTGTGAAGCTTTTGATTTCTCCATCGAATATGAATGAGATCCTTTGTGGGTCGAGTAATCTTGATTGTAGGTTCTTCCCTCTCATCACTTTAAGTATATCATGCCACTCCCTTCTGGCTTGTAAAGTTTCTGCTGAGAAATCAGCTGTTAACCTTATGGGAGTTCCCTTGTAGGTTATTTGTCAATTTTCCCTTGCTGCTTTCAATAATTTTTATTTGTCTTTAATTTTTGCCAATTTGATTACTATGTGTCTTGGCGTGTTTCTCCTTGGGTTTATCCTGTATGGGACTCTATGCACTTCCTGGACGTGGGCTGCTATTTCCTTTCCCATGTTAGGGAAGTGTTCGACTATAACCTCTTCAAATATTTTCTCGGGTCCTTTCTCTCTCTCTTCTCCTTCTGAGACCCCTATAATGCGAATGTTGTTGTGTTTAATGTTGTCCCAGAGATCTCTTAGGCTGTCTTCATTTCTTTTCATTCATTTTCTTTATTCTGTTCCGCAGCAGTGAATTCCACCATTTTGTCTTCCAGGTCACTTATCCGTTCTTCTGCCTCAGTTATTCTGCTATTGATTCCTTCTAGTGTACTTTTCATTTCAGTTATTGTATTGTTCATCTCTGTTTGTTTGTTCTTTAATTCTTCTAGATCTTTGTTAAACATTTCTTGCATCTTCTTGATCTTTGCCTCCATTCTTTTTCCAAGGTCCTGGATCATCTTCACTATCATTATTCTGAATTCTTTTTCTGGAAGGTTGCCTATCTCCACTTCATTTAGTTGCTTTTCTGGGGTTTTACCTTGCTCCTTCATCTGGTACATAGCCCTCTGCCTTTTCATCTTTTCTATCTTTCTGTGAATGTGGTTTTTGTTCCACAGGCTGCAGGATTGTAGGTCTTCTTGCTTCTGCTGTCTGCCCTGTGGTGGATGAGGCTATCTAAGAGGCTTGTGCAAGTTTCCTGATGGGAGAGACTGGTGGTGGGTAGCTATCAGTGATATTTTCTGACAGATGACTGCATTGGATACCAGAAGAGAAAATTTCTGTGAACATCATTAATCTCACCATCTCACTTGACTAGAGGAGGAATGAACGTCTTCTAGAATTCAGAGTAGGGGACAAAACTCAAGAACCACACAGGTGGCAATAAATGTTTGAAGCAGATTAGGTCGGTCTACATGATGCTGCAGAGAGGAAGTTCCTCTAAAGGGCTCATCAGCCACCCACCCTCAGCTAACTATTGTCATGTGGGGATGTGAGTCCAATGTAACCTGTTTTTTAATTTCTATACAAATCCAGACATTTGTATGAAATCTCTCAGATGTTAAGATAATTGACTTCAAATCTGAATTTTCATAAGACACTCTGTGGACCAAACATAAAATATTTTACAATTATATATATAAATTTTTTCAACCAAGACCGAACTGACCTATAACTATACTGATCTGAAACTATGAGTTTTATGCCCATCACATGTTGAAACTAACATGACCTACTTTGTCCTTTTTATCTGATCCCACAGCTGAAAGAGACATAAGGATTGATGATATGCAAAAACTAAAAGTGGTAGAAAACTTTATTTATGAGAGCATGCGGTACCAGCCTGTCGTGGACCTGGTCATGCGCAAAGCCTTAGAGGATGATGTCATCGATGGCTACCCAGTGAAAAAGGGGACTAACATTATCCTGAATATTGGAAGAATGCATAGACTTGAGTTTTTCCCCAAGCCCAATGAATTTACTCTTGAAAACTTTGCCAAGAATGTAAGAGCCCTTCCTTAAAACTGTGTGTGCCACTCTTGAAAATGTCAACTCTTAAGTCCTCTCTGTTTCTGTGTTTGCACCATGTATATTTCATTCTATTTACTCATTCTCTTCACACCTCACCAGGAAAACACATTTCCCCTAGCTTGGAACACGACCACCATGTCTGTCCTCAAGGCAAGGAGGCTGGCTCTCCAGCTCTCAGAAATGTCTTCATGGAGGCCACACAATAGGTCAAAAGATGAATAATTCAGGCCCTTAATTTGCTTAAAATGAGGCAAATTTTCTTTAACCAACCCATTTAAACTTAACTTTTCCATTTAAACTTATCACCTTGTCACCATGTAGATTCAGCCGTAGCATCATCTAAGTCAAGGAAATCCACTTCTGCTTCAGATGGAAATCAAGTGAGAAGAAAAGATTTGGTTTTGGCAGTGGGCCTTTGGTTTCTCAAATGGCCCCACAAGCACTAGGCCTCATTCTATATAAGACTTTGTAATTACAAGAGCCTCAGCTTCTTCTTTTTCTGTAACTGAGGTGTACTGGAGATTCTGCCTCCATTATGTCAATTCTAGGCAATGACTTTTTTAACCTGAATTATCCTGATAGTTCCGTGTCCCCTTTTTCCATTTGCATATGGAAATATGATCTTAGTTAAACCAGTTGTCTAATTCATTCCATTTCTAGATAAGCAACCCACGCCATGTTGGCAATTGGTCAAAAATAACTTACTGAGCGTGTATTAAGTGCCAGGCACTATGTGAGTCCAAATGGGGACAAGACAGGCAGAGGTGTCCCATTAAATATTTGTATAACTAAATATATTTAGATCCTTGGCACTAATAGGGAATCCACACCTTTGCCTAAATTTGTCCTTGTCATCATGTTATATGCCCTGGCACAAAAACAATCTTTGCCTCAATGGCTGGCAGAACAGCAGTAAAGCCATGGTCTTCCCACAGAGCTAGCTGAGTATTTACATGAAAAGCAAAACAGGGAATTGTTTGAAGTTGTGTCCGTAACACAAAGGGTGAATCAAACTGGAGGGAGAAAGAGGCTTATCTGAGTTACAGTCATTCCTCTCCGTGAAGGAGCAGTATGGCCAAGTCGCCGAAACCGAGCATTCTGACTCACAGTGTTTTCAGGGTGAATCAAACAGATATGCATGACTCTAGCCTTTACTTCTCAGGCTAATTGTCTGATCATTTTCCTAGGTTCCTTACAGGTACTTTCAGCCATTTGGCTTTGGGCCCCGGGCCTGTGCGGGAAAATACATTGCCATGGTGATGATGAAGGTCATCCTGGTCACACTTCTGAGACGCTTCCACATGCAGACATTGCAAGGTCAATGTGTTGAAAAGATGCAGAAGAAAAATGACTTATCTTTGCAACCAGATGAGACCAGCGACCTGCTAGGAATGATTTTCATCCCAAGAAATTCAGACAAGTGCCTCGACCACTAAAAAAGTTTGGTCAGTCCCTGCCCTGGAGCACTTCTCAACAGTATTCCACATGGAAGCCACCCACCTTTGCCAGGTAGTCCTCCTCCCATGAACAACCGTGGCCTCTGGCCTTTTATACACTTACCTCCTGTGGGGTGTTAGCGAGCCGGGAGACACCGGTCATCTGAGCGCATCCAAACCAGAAACCAGACTGCAGGAGAAAATACGGAGGCGAAGATTTGTGCAGGAAACTGCAGCCCTAAAGGCCCAGTTCCACAAAACGTGCTTTGGGAAAGACAAGCCATCAGCAAGACTCACGCCCCACTCCTCACTGTCCTGCCCTGAGATGGGAGCTTTGTAATGACTGGGGCAGAAGCATTCAATTCCATTACAAAGGCCAGGCTGACACTGGGTACCTAGAGCTAAACACACCCACTAGTATGAATAAAGGGCTTTTGATTTTGTTTTCGGTGGGTTGGGTACTGCAATATTCACACCTTTGGAGAAATACTTACAAATTCAGCATTTGCCTTTTCCTATGAATTATGTTAAATTAACTCTTGTTTAACCTCATGTGATTTAACTGTGGCTAAAGTTCAATGGAAGACTGTGGTTTCCCAGTCTCTCAATTTATGCCTCAACCAGATTATATATGTGTTCTAGGAAAGAAATTCATACAATGGGTTTGAAATTAAAATAAAATTCCTTTTTTTCATGTCTGCATTGTTGTTTAGTTCCATGAGTGCCCTAAGAAAGAGAATACCCTAGGCAGTAGCACCTATTAACTCTTATCACAGGTCCATGATTTGGGGGAGGGGAAGTCTCTGAATCTATATCTAAATCTACATCCCAGTGAGTTCAAACTTCTAAGGAGTGCTCCTCATATACCATAATCCTTCTCCCTCAACATTTCTCCCCATCTTACTTTCCATGGCCCCAAAGAAAAGAGCAACAGATCAGTAGAGAACATGGCCAGGGCAGATCCCCTACAATCACATTTTATCCTAGCTCAGATTTAACAATTACCTTAGAGATTTAACAGTTATCTAGTTTATCTAATCATTACATGTAGTCAGGGGTAAAATGCAAACTTCGGAATTAGCTCTTGAGAAAGAATAAAATAGATGAGTGAATTTTCCAAATACCAGTTTCTTTCTGTTATATCACCAATATGGATGTATTGTATAGTGTATACTGAAGGCCACTTAAAAACTGAAAACTTAAACTCATTTATACACTTGTAAATCTTGGCCATTGAGTCAACCTGAATATTCTTCTCATCCTGCTATTTGGCAGAGCTCTTTTCTTTTGGAATCCATGCCGGTCCCCCATTCTTTTTTTTTGGCCATGCCTAGTGACACGCAGCTTCCTACTGTCCTCCATTCTTACTCTCAAGATCAGTACTGAATCAACACTCTGGCTCAGAGACATTCTAATTGACCCAGAATCCAGGTAAAAGGGAGAGGTATTCAAAGTGGTCCGGGATGGGCATTAGTAAAGCAGGAAATATTTGCACTTTGCTGTACACCTGAATCTAACACAGTGTTGTAAATCAACTATACTTCAGGTTAAAAAAGTAGGAAATACTTGAACTTGGAATCATCTGGATCATCTACATGGCCTAAACATATGTTGAAATAGGCCTGTGCACCTGGATATGTCTGTAGTCAAGTCTAGACAAGCATCCAAATAATCCAGATCTGCAAAAGACAGTCCAGGATTTTAGACAATGTCTAAATTCCTTAATTCACATTAACTCACTAGATGATTGTGAACACACAGTTTACTGTGACTAGAGCTGTACAGTAGAGGAAAACAGATTTTGGACCACTGCACTTCAGCTATCCAATTCCCTTGAACATCTACTGTATTTAATGTGTACATATACGTAGCCAAGGCCATCACCTATACAGTCAAAGTGAGATGGAGGTGGATATAGTTGTCTATAGATAATGCAGATAAAAAATATGCTAGGGGAAAACAGGACTAGGAGGTGGAGACCAGAGGAGGACAGGAAGAGGGGAACTGCTGGTTTGCATGATGAAAGCAAACTCTCCCAGAATCAAATTATCTGAGTAATTACTCAACTTGAAATTCTCTTTCTCTGGTATTGACAAACCCCATATGTTTGTACAGGCTTGGTCTAAGAATCTGGAGTGTCATTGACTCTTCACTGGGCTGATGGGCATATATTTGAAAATCCTGTTTTCTCTTCAGAATTTTACCTAATTATTAAGTACTTAGAGCACTCTGAATGTGCTGTGGATTCTGTTTTTACTAACTCAGAAAACTGGGATGTACCAAAATGAAAATAAATAAGGAAACACAAGCTTTAAATGACACATTAAACAAGATGGACTTAATTGATATTTATAGGACATTCCATCCAAAAACGACAGAATACACTTTCTTCTCAAGTGCTCATGGAATGAACAATCTCTAGGATAGATCATATCTTGGGGTCACAAATCAAGCCTTGGTAAATTTAAGAAAATTGAAATCATATCAAATATCTTTTCTGACCACAATGCTATGAGACTAGATATCAATTACAGGAAAAAATCTGTGAAAAATACAGACACATGGAGGCTAAACAATAAATAACTAGTACTTAATAACCAGGAGATCACTTAAGAAGTCAAAGAGGAAATCAAAAAATACCTAGACATAAGTCACAACGAAAAAACGACCATCCAAAACCTATGGGATGCAGCAAAAGCAGTTGTAAGAGGGAAGTTTACAGCAATACAAGACTACCTCAAGAAACAAAAAAATTTCAAGTAAACAATCTAACCTTACAGCTAAAGGAACTAGAGAAAGAAGAACAAACAAAACCCGAAGTTATCAGAAGGAAAGAAATCATAAAGATCAAAGCAGAAATAGTGAAATAGAAACAAAGAAAACAATAGCAAAGATGAATAAAACTAAAAGCTGGTTCCTTGAGAAGATAAACAAAATTGATAAACCATTAGCCAGACTCACCAAGAAAAAGAGGGAGAGGACTCAAACCAATAAAATTAGAAATGAAAACGGAGAAGTTAAAACAGA